TGGTGGGAGCACCACAAAGACAGGGGTCTTTGTTTCGTGTCTTTATCTGTCTGAAGCACTTTGAACAGACCCTGGCATATAATCAGTGCTCAACAAATGTTCTGGATGATTTTTTTCCATCCCAAGGCCAGTAGACAGAGTATAGCAATGCTTTCATTTTTACTCTTTTTACCTCTGTGCATCACCTACGTGAATTTCATCTTTCTCCATTTTTGCATGTGGAATTTTATGTACAACGTATTAGTAGGCAGTAAAAAGACTCTCCCAACTTCTGCTACCCAGGCTTTCCCTTACACTTGGGCCTGACTTTCACAGCCATCAAACGATATTCTATTTTATAGATACAGTGCGTATTGCAGCTGCAAAGTTCATCATTTTTATGCCATACAGCTTATCTCCTTTCAATGTATATGATGCAGAACATTCCAGTGCAATGTATCTGCCTCCTGGCATTTGATGCCTATTTATTGTATGAGCCCAAATAAAAGGTTATGTTCAGTGAAATGGGACGTGCTGTAATTCAGTCTCTTTGTGGAGGCCTTTTTATTCTGCAGTCTGGTTTATTTGTTACTTATCCCATATATCTGCTCCTTTGTCTCTATGCTTCATTGTCTTCTGATGGCCCTGATGTAGTAATTCACCCTTTGGTCTCATTCTTTCTGTTCCTACTCAATCTCCTTCCTCCATACACTGCACACCCCCTCCCTGCCCACTCCATCCCAGGCTGGTCCTTTTTCTTTCCTCAGGCAGCTCCCTTTTGAGCAGTAATTGTACAGAATGGAAAAACGGGTAATATGAAACAAATGCATGATAAACATGGATCAAATGTGGGTAAATTGTTACATCGAGCATTTCTGAAAATAAGGCTTCATTCCCTGAGAGAAATAATAATAATTTAGGATACAGTTTCATGGCTCCAGAAATGCACACATAAAATGGATATCCAAATACACCCTGCTGTTGTCTGTCAAGGATAAAGGCAATTTTCCCCACTGGAGGTTAGTAATGGAACCATATGGTTAATAGACTATTGAGTCCAGTGTTAGAAGTATCTGAAAACTGGTTTTGTCTTGATGAGGAGCAATTGAGTAGGAAGGAACTTTCACATCCAATGTCCTCTAATTATAGCAGGTATGAAAGAAACTTAAAAACTACAACTAGTCAGGTGTGGTATCGAATCCCTATAATCCCAACAGCTTGGGAGGCAGGAGGATCACAAATGCAAAGGCAGCCTCAGTAACTTAGCAAGGCCCTAAGCAACTTAACCAGACCCTGTCTCAAAATAAAATATAAAAAAAGGGCTGCGGATATGGCTCAGTGCTTAAGCACCCCTGAGTTCAGTCTCTGTCCAAAAAAAAAAAAACTAGTTTTCTCATCCTGAATGATCATGTGCACCATGCACATTTCAAAGGATAACAGAAAAAAAGTTCTCTGATAGAGTTTTCAGTTGATTCCTACTAAAATTATTAGATAAAATTCAATAAATAGTTCCCCTCATCCACAGTTTAAAAGTTTGCAAGATCTTCTAGACTGGCAAGGTTATGACAGAGATGAGGAGCGACAGTTTGGAGAGAGGAGGAGAGTGGAAAGAGAGAAAGGCAAATATAGACATCAAGGATGCTGCTCAGGAGCTGACTGACAGGGTTCCAGTACCAACTTCTTCATTTACTGGCTATAAGGCCTTGAAACCTTCATCTTAAAAGGAACACTTTCACACTACTGGAGGGATTTTAAATTATGGAAATCAATAGGGAGGTTCCTCAAAAGACTAGGCTTGGAACCATCATATGGCCCAGCTGTACCACTCCTCAGTATTTACCCTAGAATTAAAGACATTTATAAGATAGTGATACATGCATACACCTATGTTTAAAGCAGCCCAATTCACAATAGCCAAACTATGGAATCAGCCTAGGTGTCCATCAACAGATTAATTGATAAAGAAAATGTGGTATATATTCACAAGAGAGTTTTATTCAGCCGTAAAGAAAAAAAAAAAAAAAGGAAACTATATACTTTGGGGGAAAAGAGCTAGAACTTGAGACCATTCTGTTAAGCAAAATAAGCCAAGTTCAGAAGGTCAAGGGTCATATGTTTTCTCTCATATGTGAAAGCTACAGAGGAAAAAGGAAAGGAAAGTTGTGGGGGGAATCTCATGAAAATTGAAGGGACATTCATAGAATAGAAAAAAGGAACTCTGGGAGGGAGGAGAGAAGGGAAAGGGAAAATACTGGGAAAAGATATTGGCCAAATAATATTGTTATATCAAGTGCATGTACAAATATGTAACAACAAAGCTCACTATTACGTACAACTATAATATACCTGAAAAGGGGGGGGGTCTTCTTAGCAACCAAACTTCCTTCCTTATCAGCAAAATGGAGATGATAATCATACATACCTTCTAAGGTCATTGTACATAAACATTCAACAACCCTTCTTCATGCACAGGCATGGCATGGCATACCATGGATACCCTACAAATGTGAGCTACTGATGTTATGATTGAAATGCAAAAAGTCAAACTTCAGCTTTTTTTTTTTCTATCAGTACAGTAGTCCTGGTACTATATAGGCCAGGATTTCCTATCAAGGCAGAGCAAGGATGGGAGTTAAGTCCTGCATCAGACTGTCATGATGAAGGCTGTGGGTGTCCTCCATGTACAACCCAGGGCATGCACTTCAGAGTGAGGAGGATGCCAGAAGCTCACACTCTATAGTCAATTAAACACAACCCAGGCTTTGGTTAGGAGCCCAGTGGGAGCTGATCAAGATGAGCCTGAAAACATTCCTGGGGTTTAATCTTACATTCTCTTCTCTGTGACCTTAGGCAAGTCAATTTATATTTCTGAACCTCAAATTTGTAATCTGTACCATGGAAGGTAATGTTTTCCTTATGAAATGTTAGCAGCGTGGAATAAAATACCTCTCTGGGAAAAAGCAAATGCTCATCCAATAACAGGTTTTATTTTTTCTAGTAAGTGAACAAGAGGGAAGGATTAGGATACCTAGGGAGGCAGACATTAGCAAGGCGAATTAACATTAGTTGATGTGATAATATTTACTAAACAGGGCTAGCTCCTTCACCCTTTCTTGAGGCATCTTCACAACAGATCTGTGGAAAGACGTTCATCCCTCTCCCTTTACAGATCATCAAGTCAACGCACAGAGGCATAAGCTGGTTTTTCCCACGTCACACAGCTAGTAAGTCTAAGAGATAGCAGTTTGTTTGAATCCACAARTCAATGAAATAAATAAATTTAAATCTTTAAAGTGTTGCTTTCTTTTTATAGCGCACTTATTTTGATGGACTCAACTATCATAAAAGTTAAATTGATTATGTATGAAAGGCGATCTGTGAATTCACTTCTAAGAAACAGTGAGAGTGACTCTTCTTGCTCCATGCAGGCAAATCCTTCTTAAAGGATATATGCAAATGAAGTACAGAATTAGAAAGCCTTATTTATACTCCAGAGCAAGGGAAGTAGCTTAATGGCATAGCTATAAAGAAAGCTATGTGTTGCATAGGGAAGGTAGAGAAGACAGTGGAAAAGCTTTAAATGTAAAGAAAGTGAGTCAAAATTCTTACTTGAAATTCTGTAAAGACTAAGTGCTACTAAAAAACAATGCATGAGAGTGTGAAACTCCAATAGTWTCAACAGTGATATAATTAAACAATAAATGAGATTGCACTTCAATGCTAGTTAAATAAGAAAAACATTTTGAAAATATAATGCCCCAAACTGGTGAATATGCATTTGCAATCTGGTCCTTCCTAAATTTCCCTGGGCAGTCTAAAATGAAAAGTCATCTGGAGATACATGGGAGACTCTAGAAATATCCACATTCTTTATTTCAGCAATTCTCCTTCATATAACCCATTCCTAGAAAATCATGCAAAATAGGAMGGAAAAATGAAGATGTTCTTTGAAGGATTCTTTGAATGACCACTCTTAAAGCATACTCAGCCCACAGCTGAGGAATAGTTAAATTAACTAGGATACTTCTATTTGCTTAGAATTTTATATAAGTTTATGACAAATATATTTTTTAAAAAATATAGATGGAAGAATGAAGTACTGATACCTGGTACAACACCAAATGAATTTTGTCAGCCTGCTAAGGGAAAGACAGCAGATGAAAAAAAAAAAGCCAGATACTGCATGATTCCATTTATATGAAATATTTGGAATAGGCACATCCTTGGACACAGGAGTAAATTAGTGATTGCCTAGGAATAGGTGGGTGAGATGGGGCTGGGGAAGAAAACTGACTGCTGGTGGGCACACAGTTCCTTTGGGGGGATGATAAAAGTTTCCTAAGGAAGATCAGGATGATGCTAGCACAACTCCAGGAATATACCAAAAACAATTTAACAGACCACTCTGAATGCTGAATTGAATCTCAGTTAAGTCTTCACAATTTTTTAATACAAATTATGTACTGTAAAAGTAAGTTGCACGAATACATGCAAAGCAGACTAGAAGTCAACATAACCAAATACTAACAGTGGTTCAGTTGAGAAAGTGAACTTGTGAGTGAAAATTAGCCTTCTGTTATCATTGAAAACTTTTTTCAGTGAGTAGATTTCTTTCACTATGAAAAATGTTAGATATACTTAATAAATAGAAGAATYATTCCTCTTTACAACTATGTCTTTCCTCCATCAAATCCAGTCTCCTTTTTTTTTTTTTTTCACCTTGAACARTTGAGTTAGATATGTTACAGGCTGGCTGACCTCACAGCCCCTTCTAGCCATTTGGTACAATTCTGTAAGTGGAAAAGACAACCATATGGACTGAGTATTGCTCAGKGCCTGCCTAGCATGTGTGAGGTCYTGGGTTCCATCCCCAGCATTGGAAAACAAACAAACAAAATAACAACAAGCAAAAAATAAATAAATAAACATCCACCATATTAATGGGTTTAACCCCAAAGGGGAAAAAAATCTACACTTTAAAATTTCTGGCATATTGAATATACATCTGTTCTCATTTTTAGGAAGTGATAGAAGCAATCGCAGAGTGTGCATTTAAGACCTCACCTTTTCCAATTCTTCTGTCATTTGAGAACCACGTGGATTCGTAAGTATTCAGAACTTTCAGTGAGGAGTCTTTTCCCCAAGTCTTTATTTAACAATTTGATAATTGTTCATCAGATTTAAGATTGTTTGACATTATTTCTGGGCATGTTATTTCAGCATCTGTAGTCCCAGCAGCCTGGGAGGCTAAGGCAGGAGGATGACAAGATCAAAGTCAGCCTTAGCAACTTATCAAGGCCCTAAGCAACTTAGTAAGACCCTGTGTCCAAATAAAAAAAYAAAAAGGGCTGGGGATGTGGCAATGTTGCCAAGTGGTTAAGCATTGCTGGATTTAATCCCTGTTCCCCCCACAAAAAAAGAAAGATTGTTTGACATTAATGGTGTTCAATCATTTTCTCATACTATATAATAAGTGGCATGTTTTCATTCATGTATGATAAAACTTATTCATTTAAATCTCATCACCATTAAAACTTCATTGGACTTATACCATAATATGATTTTTAATTAAGGACTTCTGTTTACAAAAAAAATAGAACATATTTTCTTATACAATCATATCTTCCTTATAGATTTGGAATGCAGTGGGCCACTTTTATAACCCTCCTTCATCAGCACCTTCTGTTGCATGCAGATTCATAGTCAGTTTTGCCACCTTAAAATGACCAGTTATCTACCTGCAGCTGGTGGAAGGAAAACTGCAAATTCTATTGTGCCACTTTGTAGTTATACAGAACTCAGCCTGGCAAATGCTCCATCCTTCTTCTTCCTGTTGATTTTCCCATTTGTTAGTATTTGTAAACATTTTCCTACTTCAAAATAATCTGCACTTATTACTGAGCTACTCAAAGTAAAGGTCATTTTTACCTGACTCTTTATTTCCTTCCCTCCTTCCCTCCTCCTTCTTATCTTCCTTCCTTCCTTCTTCTTCCCTCCCTCCCTCCCTCCTTTCTCTCTCTCTCTCTCTCTCTGCTGGGAATTCCACTCAGGGTTTCATGAATGCTAGGCAAGTGTTCTGCTACTGGGATATACACCTAGTTTTTTGGTTTTTTTAAAATTTTAGTTTGAGATGGACTCTTGCTAAGTTGCCCAGGCTGGCCTTGAACATGACAATCTTCCTTCCTCAGCCTCCTGAGTAGGTGGGTTTATRTGGGTTTTTAAGTGTACACCACCACATCTGACCTATTTTATATTCATTTATCACAAAGTACCAGAGTAAGAGATATTTATATGTAAGATGTGCATATTAATTTATCATACAGTTATTCACTTTAAATGGCCTTACAAGAAAACACTGTTCTCTAGGATTGGGGTTTTAGCTCAGTGGGAGAGAATTTGCCTCGCATGCACAAGGCCTTAGGATTGATCCCCAGCACCAAAATAAATAAATAAATAAATAAATTAATTAATTAATTAATTAATTAATTTAAAAGAGGTTATTTTCTATCTTGAAATTTTGGAACTTAAATTACCATGCATAGAACCAATTCAATGTCTGAAGAACACATAGTGGAGCCACCATTGCTCAAAAGACCATTTGTGAAGCCCTCTGTTCATCTCAAGGACTCATGCCAGGTTTCTCGATCCAAAGCCAACAGGACCTATCTAATTGTGCTCACTGATTCTTTTTCTCCTCCTTTCAATCAAGAGTCTTTCCCAGGTCACTCATTTTCTTTGTCCAACTTATTTGCAACATGGGCTTGCATTTGCTAATTCTGCAACAATTCACTGAACCTTAAAGAAGCAGTTTGGTCATCATCAGATTTCTAAATAATTAAATGTGAACATTCATTAACATATACATATAGAGAAGCCTTATTCTAACATAACCAATCTTATAAGGGTCTGTTCTTCTATTGCCCTCAGTAAATCCACGTTACATCCATTGGTCCTTGATTCTGTTTCATTATCATACATTGTCCAATGAATGCTGTAATCATTGGGCATATAGTTCTTCTAATACTCCTGATGGTCAGTTGAAGAGAATGGAATTTATTCTGTCCCATTGCTGTTTCTYAGGGGCACCTCTTTGGTGGCTGTGTCTAATAGCTGCTTGTTGGTGACAGCTCTGACTTGCCTGTGACTTTGCTGGAGCTCTTCCTTGTCTCTGCCCATCCATTTGATTTTCGGTTCCCACAATGCTTTGCCACTTTTCTTTCAGGCACAGTAGTCACCAGACTGGTTGATGTGTGGGGTTTGTGTGCGTGTGCTTTGTTTTGTCTAYTTATGAGAAAAAGCATTCAGTGTGCTTATTTTCTTAAATATTTCTATTTGAACTAGACAAAATGAAAGTCTACGGTTCTATTCTGGATTATCATACCTGCTACACTGCACTCTCCCTTAATTAGCCAAAGAAGTACCAGCAACTACCATGACCATAAATATAACAACAGGTAGCATTTATTGAATGGGTATTTTGTGCCCAAGAACCTTGCAATTCTTTTATGTGCCTGAGCTCATGCAACCCTCAACATGAACCCAGGTGCTCTTCACAGTAAATCTGATGATCATTCTTAGTATATGGATGAAGAAACTAAATCCCAAAGCTGTTCAAGATTATGCAGCTAAAATATGTCAGAGGTGGAATTCAAATTCAGTTGGMCTGGGCTAGAGAACTACAGCATTTCCTGCACCTGCACAGAAGCATCATGAGTTTCCAAAATATGGAATTAAAASAACCAGAGCATCCGCAAGGCAACTGTCTATAAATGTTCATGCTTTTGTGGCTTATGAACTCCAACCACAGAATTTTTTTTTTTCTTTTTGGTACTGGGGATTAAACCCAGAGGTTCTTTACTAGTGAACTCCAGCCCCAGCCTGCTTTTTTCATCTTTTTGTTTTGAGACAAGTTCTCACTAAGTTGCATAGGGCCTTGCTAAGTTCTGGAGGCTGGCCTTGAACTTGGGATCCTCCTGCCTCAGCACTCTCCCTCACATTGCTGGGATTCTAACTGTGCATCACCATGTCTGGGCCACAGGGTGTTTTGTTTGTTTGTTTGTTTGTTTGTTGTTGTTGTTGTTGCTGTTTTTGCAATCTTATGCACTGATCATACAGAGATCCAAAACTGGGCAGGTAGAAACTCCCTACCTTGTGAACAAAAGCAAAGTGGGTGGCTGCATAATACTGTCCTTTCTGGGCAAATGAGTTTAGCTATTAAAAGTGTCATTAATAATTCAAATGTGACAAAAGAAAACAGGAAGACAGCCTTCCCAGGGTGCCAAGAGTGCTTCCCAAGCCATTAGAAAATCTAATGGCAGTAAAATACAGAGAGACTGACTCCCATTGTGGGAAGATGTTTGCTACACATTTCCGCTGTCCTTCAGCTTCACATGAAAATCCTTTAGCCATAAATCTTTCCTGGGAGGGGTATCACATGGCTAAAGAAGGCTGATGGACATCCCCTCCCTGGGTAGAGCCCTATCCTTGACTTGTGGGTCAACTCACTTGGTTCTGGACCTGTGGCAGGTCTCATTCCTTAAGTCCCAGCACTGTTTCCTTCTCACTAGGCCTAAATGTTACCTCAGAATCCTTCTCAACCCAGTGACCCAGGAGCTCACCCTCAAAACATTTGAAACCTATTTGCCATTTCTGGTGAACCATTTTGTCCTCTGGTGCCAGATTCRGAGCTCCTGTTCCTGCTGATTTGGCCCACAGCCCAAAACAAACTCATACTGGGGGGAAAATGGAACAAATCCAAGGCATTTTATGGTTTCTATTTGAAATCCTCTATCCATAGACAACAAAAGAGACTCTGCCACTCACTGCTGTCCACTTAGTCACGTGCTACCTCAGGCTTCCATAGAGAACATTCTCAAATGCAGGTTCCTAAGGGGCTCTCCCACTCCCAAATTAGAATTTGTAGAGAAGACTTGAAAATCTTTACAAAAAAGTAAACAACAATAACAACAAAAAGCCCTAGTTGACTCTGATGGCCCACTTCATTTGTGAACTAGCACTTTTACAAAATGAAGCCTGTATCGAATTCAAATGAAGCAATCTCTAGCCCTGGTTCAGCTATAGACAACTATGAGATTTTGCACAAGGTTCTTTATTTCCATGGACTACAGATTCCTTATCTATAGAGAAGGAGGTCAGTATAGTTCAATTTGGGGGATTTAACCCCATGAGTTGGTATGCATTCTTATCAGAAACTGACTCTTTCGCCAGACTTAAAATTATCTATCTATCTCTCTATGTTCACAGTGCTGGGGATTGAACTCAGGGACTCTAACACGGAGCTATATCCCAGTGCTTTTGAGACAGAGTCTCACTAAATTGCCGGCAGTGGCCTCAAACTTGTAATCTTCTTGTATCAACCTCCTGAGTAGCTGGGATCATAGGTGTGGACCAGTGCACCTGACTGGGTATTTTAATATCTTTAGAAATATCTGTTTCAGCCTGAAGCTCAAAATGTATTTCTGAATTTTTCTTCTCACTTTATTTCTACAGTAGCTGATATTGATGCTTTAAAAATTTCAGGACTTTTTTTTTTTTTTTTTTTTTTGCTAATTGCAATTTTAATGCCTTTTATTTCTGCAGTTCCTCCTGTAATTAAAGTAGGTTTGTTTTCCTCTCACTTTTTGTATTCGGTTTTCCTTGTGTTCTGATTGAGTCAGGTGGGCATGTGTATTTATTTATTGAGAACATGAATAGCCTGATTACTAAGTAGCACAATTCTTTTTTTTTCTTGGATAGCTACATTTTACTTTCTCCATCTTAGACACAGATCCTTGTTTTTCAAACTATCTACATCCAAGGGGAACTTCTTAGAAATGCAGCAATTCTGGCCCCATCCTGGGTTCTATTTCAGAATTTYACTTCAACTGGACCCCAAGTGATTTGGATAAAGTGCTAGAGGGAGGCTCTAAATGTTGTATGTCCATAACCACTGCATCAGAATTACCTGCAGGCTTGCTTCAAAAGCAGATTCCAGGACTTCACTCCCAACTCCATGAATCCGTGAACTGGGACTTGGCTCCATCACCTGCCATGTTAATGACTCAGGTGTTTCTTTAGTTGAATAAGAATCATGGCGTCAGCACCATCCTTCTTGGAGACTACCTAACAGAGCACACCTGTTTAGGGGCACCTGAATCACCTCCCTGAAATCCCTCTACTGGTAAGAATAAGGTTTCCCAGAAATCCCCAAAGCAGGAGGATATCAGGGTAAAACTCTTCCTTTTTGTTCCTGGTCACTAATCAAAGAGAACTCAGAACTCCCACAATCTACCACTTAAGAAGAAATGTCACCTCCTGCAGCACCTGGTGATTAATATTAATCTATCAGATTAATTTAAAGCTTGAACATGCAACAGAAGCATGAAGAGGACTTGTGAAAATGTGGAATCTTGACTTTTGACTCTGTATCTGCATTTTTAACAAGTGATGTTGATGCTGCTGTCCATGGAACACATTTGGTGTAGTAAAAGATCTATGGTATATAATAGGATCATTCTTTGACAGCTTCCTTAAGTGCAGCCTGGTTGTATGGACCCAGCACAGATGGACTTATTCTCAGCTGCAGCAGGGAGCTGGCTGACTTGGTGGAGGCCCTGTGTGAGTTATCACTGGGGCAAAGAACATCCACCTGAGCCTACCCTTTTGAGATCAGCCGCTACTGCACCTGCTCCCAAAGGTCTCATYGACACAGTTTCTAAGAAGTTGTCCTTAAACCACCACCTCCAGAGCTTTTCAGGGTCACTTCTCTGATCAGCAGTGATTTCTTCTCTCTGGCACTACTGAGGACTAGTGCCATCTACTCTGAGGACTGCGTCAGCCATAAAGTAAAATCTCATAGAGGCCAACAAAAGTCTGATGAGGAGTAAGAAGGCCTTTGTACATTTTCTGAATCTCTCCTCTGCTTCCCCCTGCAGTTCCAAGAAAGCAGTAACTTGGGAAGTTCATATTTAAACCCAAGATAACTCACCTGATCCCTAAAACACATGCTTTGTTTTTTTAAAAATGAAAAAAAAGGATATAATGAGAGCTTTCTCCTGTGCATTATTGCAGTATTATTTCACTCCCCTCAGCGCTCCTTCCCAGAGGCAACAGTCCATGATCCAGGCTTCACATTCAGGAAACAGGGAATGATAATGAGAGTCACATTCTGTAATTCATCTGAACTGTGGGAAAGCTGGCTTTTCATTACTGATGCTTATTCTCAGTAYGATCCCTGTTCTTCTACAATGTATTATCATTGCAGGGTGTAGCTATAACTATGGGAAATCAAGTTCTACGGCTGTAGCTCAAAATCAGAGTCCATAAAACCCGCCAGAATCAGATACCTTACAACGATATTTAACATTCCACAGAATGAAAAAAAAAATTTTATTGGATTTAAAAWGGTCAAGGAAAGCAGGAGCTCTGTAGGAGGAGGGCTGTTCCCTGCTATCAATGTGTTTACGAGGGCTGGAGGCACAGTGTGTCTAGTCTAGCTGGCAGACACTGCCTTCCAGAAGTGGGATCATCTTACATGTGCCCTGYTCTTGTAGCATTTCAAAGGCATTTGCATCCATTACTTCATTTCAYCTTCTCAGCATCCTTTGTCCCTTTCCAAGAGCAGTGGTGATCCTCCTCGTTTTATAGATCCAAAGCGGTTCAGGAGCCTGGAGCTCCAAGAAGCCACAGCTGYCCCAGCCTTTTCCCATCAGAAGCCATCAGTGCAGGCAACACTCTCAGGCTTACCCTCCTTTGCTTCCCCCTTATGCACATCAGAGATGCTGAGAAAGCACCTGTCCCCAGATGCCTGCTGCTTTTCTCTTTCCTCTAGGACCCCCCCTCCACAAGTCTCCTGTCGGCTGCTTTCTCTGATACATTTGAGATTCACTTTCCTTCGATGCTTCTCTGTGCCCCTACCTTTCTTCCTCCCCTGCCTCCTCGTAAACACTCCTTTGAAACTCTCTGTAGGTCTGATAAATTTCACCCAGGAATTCACATGGAGCTATGGAAAAGTTCACTCTCCAAGTGCCTTGAATTAACATAGAACTGGGGAATGAAATAAGAGGGATGGAGTCTCTAACTCTGGAACCTTTAAGGCTCTTGTGACAGGCAAATGACCTGCTGTATTCCCTGTCCCTGTCTATGCAGGTCAGCCTTTAAAATAGGCTCACCCAGCCCATACCTTTACTGCCCGTGGGGTGTGCATGTAGTATTTAAATTYACCTAAGTGAGGATGGGGATTTAAAATGATAAAACTTGATCCTGAACGGTGGGCTCAGGGAATTGCCACTTTTTGTAATTAATAACACAAAGCCGCCCTGTTCAGGCTCCTGTAAGAAGCTTCCCTGATTGCTTTTTTTCTTTCTTGTTCTCCCTTAGCCCAAAGCAGCAAGCCAAGATGGCGGAGTACTGCCGACTAATCTTTGGTGATGCCCTTCTCATGGAGCCACTGGAAAAATACCCAGTAAGCAGGTTTGGTGTTTGCCCTTGAAGAAAGGCATGCGTTCTACCATGGGGGTTGGAGGGAGACTTACTTCCCTTCCATATTGRTGATGAACTCTCTAACCAGGAGGATGCTGGCGATGGGCCCCAGGGAAGATGGAAATGTATCTGTCTCCTCCTCTTCCCACAGTGCTTTCCTTCCCTCACTGCCTGATGTGACTCAATTAGGAGTGCAGAACCCCCAGCAGTTACAATCAGCCCACAGAGAAAGTCCAAGAGGACGGGGCTCTGCTTACCTCCCAGGGAGGCTTCTCACACCCCTTTGAGATAGCAAAATGGGACATTGGGAATGGCACGATGACCTATCTCATAGCTGCTGCCCACTCCTTCCATGTACCTTTGAGGCAGAACTCAGGTCTGCTGTTGCTGTGGTCCTACCCCTGTTTGGGGAAAGAAAGCAGCAGAAATAGCCTAAAGTAGCCTCTTCCCTTTTGGATCCTTGAACCTAGTCCCCAAATATCCTTAAGTGAGTTCATCTCAGTCCCCAGACTCATTCTAAACAAAGAATAGAGGACTAGCTTAGAGGAGTTCAATGGACTTTCTAAAAATAACCCATCCTGTGGCTTGCACACGTGCTCTCTGATATAATATCTAATAAACCTCTCATGGGAAATTGATTTTCCCATTAGATGTGCAAACTTGAAATTGTAGAATAAGATTTGCAAGGATGATAGCTAGAATCTCATGGCTGGAAGGAAATCTGAAACCACATAGTCAGCCTCCACTGATGCCGAGGAGATGTGTGGCTACCCTAGCTATTTCCAGGAGGAAAATTTGGCTGTTTAAAGCTGCATCTGAAAAATTGATTGCACATTCTCGCTTGGAAGCTCTTGTCTGACTTTACCAAGTCTTCCTGCTAGAGGTATGGCTTCCCTTTGAAAATTCAGAACATTGCCTTCTTATCTGTCCTAAATCAAGATGGTTGGATTCATTTACTTCACCAGAATACTCATGCAAGTTCAGGTTTAAGACTTAAATCTACCAGTACATGGCTGAGATCCTTATTTATGTATATTTTGTTGTGTGAAAAAGAAGAGTACAGCAATTAAAATATATCTTTAATGTGTAAAAAAATAAAAAAGAGCTATGAACCAGCGCCCTACAGGACACACAATACAGTTTAATGAGTCACATCCAAGGTAGTAAAGAATAATCTAGACATTCTTGGTATCCAGAACTGTGCTGAAATTTYGGAGAGGACATTTGAAAGAGAGGGGCAGTATTTTTAAAGATTTTSCTTTTCCTTTGTTAGCTGGAATCCGGAGTTCCTCTTCCCAGCCCTATGGATTTAATGTATAAAATCTTGGTGAAAAACAAGAAGAAGTCACACAAGTCATCAGAAGGAAGTGGCAAGAAGAAGCTCTCTGAACAAGTGTCCAACACATACAGTGATTCCTCTAGCGTGTTCGAGCCCTCATCTCCCGGAGCAGGTGAGCGGCCGTGGGCTCCTGTGGTGTATGGTTTGAGAATTGCCACTCTGAAATTCATTTACAGGGAAGTTGCTCTGGGCACAGTATTAAACTGCACTGGTTTTCTGTTGCCTTTAGAAACTTGATGATTTAAATGCACACAAATATTTTATCCTCTATTCTCCAGATTCAAAAGTCTTGCAAGGARCTCATGGGCTTAAATCAAGGGCTCCACAGGGCTGTGCTCCTCTCTGGAAGGCCTAGGGATGTCAGGAGCAGTCTCTACAGACTCAGTCTGAGGCATAGTTAGATTCAGCCAAATCTATTTTATTGATGCTCATCACACTGCAGACACACATCCTAATTCTAAGTCCTAAATGAGTCTACACCTAAGGATTCCAGATGTTCACCTGTGATGTGTTTTAAGTTCAGAACTCTATCCAGGCTGGAGGGGTCTGGCGCAGGGGGGAAAACAGTGACAGAGGTCTCAGTCTGTCTATCTGAGTCCTGTTAGTCCTGCTGTGTCCTCAAAGACTACTTTTAAATCCTAGTTCAGTTGTGCTTGCAGCTGATAACTGGATGAGCTCTGGGGTCTACGCCCGGGTTTAGACTCTTAGGTCACTATCTTAAGTCTATCTAAGTTCTGCAGTTTATGTAAGTTTTGCAGTTTACATTACAGCATGGACATGATGTTTACAGTCTTTATCTAACACACACACTAATTAATATACTCCACAGTCAATAATCCTATAACATTTTCTGATACTCGTATCAAAGGAAGAATTTGTTTCTTTGCTTTTCCACCTCCTAGCGACCTCCCACATTTATTGACTCAAAGCCCCCTCCCCYAGCCTCAAAGAGAGCCATGTTTCATCTCCTCTGTAGTCACCAGTCCCTAAGGCCACTGCTGGGAAGTGTCCTCTGCTTTTAAAGAGTCATGCCATTATGTCAGACCCACCCAGAAAATCCCAGGATAATCCCCCCCATCCTTTCATTTAACTCATCTGCAAAGTCCCTTTTTTTCTGCCAGGTTAGTGTATGGGCAGGATAAGGCATTCTTTGGGAAGACATTATTCCAGCTTCCACATTAGCCAGGTCATCTTTGCTGTGACCACATGATAAGCTTCTTAAGGGACACATTAACACAGGACTGTAGATGAGATACTGAGCAAAGACATTCTCATTGATGAGCCAGTGAAGCCTCCTGATGTCTCAATTTTCCATGTCTTACAGAGGCTTTCTGAAAATGTGAAATGGCAAAATTGCTTACATTACCTATCAAAGCTACTAAGCCATGCCTATTATCATTCCTTTTCCTTTTAAATTTAGGTTGAAATGAATTTTTGTGTGTGTGTGTGTGTGTGTGTGGTCGATGAGGAAAGAATTGGAAGTGGTTGCTTGTTTCTTTGGGATGATTTGTCATTTAGTCTACTTTATTTTCCAAGTTCAATCAGTATCAACCCTCCTACAGTGCATTATAAAGACCTTCCAGGTTGGAGGGTGATGAATGGGGAAAACTTGAAACTTGCTTTAGGAAGTTTTTTAGCTAAAAGTTTAACATGCTGAGTGTAGCTCAGCAGTAGAGTCCTTGCTCAGCGTGTACAGAAGATCCTGGGCTCCGTCCCCAGAATGGCCCTACCCCCTTTAAAAAAAAAAAAAAAGAAAGAAAGAAAAGTTTAACATTGGTACCATTACACTGAAAAAATTATTTATTGTATCTGCAAAAGATGAACATACACATTACCACTTACCCCAGGCTCCAAGGTTCTAGGTAAACACCTGACAGAAATGCATATTTATGTTTACCAAGAGGCATGTGCCAGAATTACTTACAGTAGCATGATAAAAAATAAATAAATAAAAAATAGCAAAACACTGGAAACCMACCAAATGCCCATCAACAAATTAATAAATCATACTGTGTCCACACAAAAGAATTGTATGCAGCCATGAGAATGATCTATGGCTACATATAAAATATGATGTTATAAACATATGTTGAGCAAAAAAAGTCAAATACAAGAACGTATTCACTATAGGATTCCAGCTATGCAAAGGACAAACACAGGCAAAACTTATCTGGGCTGTTAGAAGCTAGGGTAATGGTAACCCTTGGGAAAAAAAAGTTGCTGGAAGTGAGCCCAGGCGGCCTCTGAAGGCTGGGTGGTATTTTCTTGGTCTGGAAGCTGGTTACTCAGACATCTTTATTTGGTGAAAATTCATTGCACTGCACACATACAGTATGGGCACGTTTCTATGTTCCTATCACACATTAATTAAGAGGTTAGAAAACAATGTGGACATTAAAATATCAACTCCAGGGCAATCAGGGAGAAAAAAAAAAGGGGGGGTTGGTCAAGACTCTGACTTATCTTTTCTCATATTTTCCTGTCTTAATTGCCAATGCCTTGTATTGTTTAGATGAATATCCTTATCAGCCGACATGATATAATTCTTTGAAAGGGTTTTGTTTTGGAGCTCTTGAATGTGTGTTTCAAACATTATTGCACAATTCTGATTTGTTTTACAAAAATGACCTCTATTCTCAATAAAAATGTTCTTTTTGAAGTTTTGAAATGATTGTCTTTAGAGGCTGCCTATTTCCTAAAATACCTTTGTCCCTTGAATGCTAGCAAGCAGGCTGTGTCTTCCTCTGCATGTGGGTGCTTAGTTTTTTTTTTTTTGTTTTGTTTTGTTTTTTTTTGTTTTTAACCATCTGCATTTCCTACTACCAGTTCTCTCTCCTCCTCTTACTAACTAGATGCATTACACAAGTAACGATTTTTACAGGCAGTGAACATTATTGCTTAATACAGAGTAAGAGCAGCAATCTGTTAGTAATTCCGTAGATTTCCTAAGCTAGTCCCTGGTCTGTTGTGCAATCATTATTTATTTCAAAGGAAATTTTTGGACATGTTAATAGGTAGGTAGGCCCCTGCATAAAAGACTACTGCTAATTTGCCATTTGGTTTGTAGATGTTCAGAGTATTGGGAACTCAAATTACTTGAAAAACATGAAATAGATCTTATTTCAAGACTAATTTACTTATCACAGCCTGTGTTAGCCAGAGGACTTTCAGGAGTCTGTCCTCTGCCAGGAAACTTGTCTTAGAGAACTAAGATCAATATAGTTTAATAAGATTCCTCTGAGGCCTCTCCAAAGACTTATCAGGGAACCCCATAAATCTGTACAATTGCTATGTATCAGTTCAAAAGATAAATACAAGTAAATAAGTTTAAAAAATGTAACTTGTGAAGGAAAAAACAAGTTCTTTCTCTTATAGTAGAGAGAAACAAATTATTTCCCACAGAAACAAAAGAATGACCTGATTGGGTATTTGCAGTGACTGGTGTATTATTGTGTCCCATGAAACATTTTGTAAAAGACTCTGCCAAACATCTTTTCAGTTTTCTTGATTAAAAGAATCCCCTCTCTAATTAAAAAAAAAAAGTAATAATAAGAACAACTTAGGGGCCAAAGTTGAATATAAAAAACATTTAAATGGTAATCTCCTAAAAGAACCTGTTTCTAATATAAAAGGATACATTTTCTTTGCAAAGTGTAATCAATTCACCTTATTAACACAATATTGGTGTCATAAAGTGGTTTTATAAGGCTTTAAGAAATAAGCCATAAATAACCCTTGTTGGTACCAGAAGTCTTTCCCTTTTACAGATATTTAATGAATACTTCCCTCACTGCTATCTTCAGTAATTGATTGAACTTCCTCAACTAAGGGAAAAATTGATGAGCTTTTTGGAGGTCACTGCTATGGGCGTTGTGGCATTTACATAGATTGAGTAGGGCCCATAACTTTCAAAAGGCAGGTACTTGGCAAAGCAGGTTACCCCATTATTGAGCTCATACTGCCATCTACTGACATAATTTTGCCATTGCATTCTGTGAGCCCTAAAAGAAGTAGTCAAATGGATTTAGAACTATACTTTCTTGACTTTTTACTTAGAAATACTTTTACCCAAATGATATTACTGAGTATGACTGAATCCAGCAGGTATAGAATAATGTCATGTTTCAAACAATTATGTATATTTTACCTTGAAAAAGACTTTTAAATCTTCAGGGGAGGAAATACACTGACATGAYCTTTTATATTAGCTAAATATGACATTGAATTAGGTCTGGATTTGACTTTCAATCAGAATGATTTTGTAGTGCTCACCAATTTTATCCTGCCCTTTGAAACAGAACATCACCATTTTCTAAGATACATGTGTTATTTCTATGAAAATAGAAGCTATTTAGAGAAGCTTTGCAGACAAATTCTAGAGTGTGGTGGGTACTTCTTGGGTTTCATGTGTGCTACCGTCACCCCACAGTTCCTGCCCTGGCTCATAAATCCTTCTTTGCCATCTGTGAGTTCCCCTGCATCCTTGGAGAATGTTGACACAAGTTTGACCATGTACTGGTCAAACCTTCCATCAAAGGGCCTGGGCTTAGAAAAAGAGAGACAAATAAAAAGGGATAATTTATCTATATTAGGGTCATAGAGTCTAACATCCCTGAGAGAGAATGTATACAACAAAATAGGATACATGTGTTTGAGAAGGAAAACTGTATATGATGCCATATTTCTTTAAAAACAGAGAAAAAATGTTGAGATTCAATTTTTGTAGAACTTGGAAATTTAAAGGGTATTTTATTCCCAAATAAAATTTAGAAAAAAAAATCTGTATTCAAAATCTCAGGAAAATTCTTTGTAACTAATAAAATTTAAATTCATAAAATAATAATGATAACAACAACAGCAGCAAAAATAAGAAGAAACCAAGAAGCCAATTTCCAAGGAAGCCCTCTAATCATTTTTTGTTAGTACATTTGTTGACAAGTGCTTTGAACTTTCGAATGTTGACGTCATGATCTGTTATTAAAATTTGACAGGGGAAGCTGATACCGAAAGTGATGATGATGACGATGATGATGACTGTAAAAAATCTTCAATGGATGAGGTGGGTAAAGACTGGGTTCTCTCACTTGCCAGGCCAGGTGCAGGCTCCTGGATATATTTCATAGTCACCTTCTGCCATCTAGTGGCAGAAAGAATAAATGCATGACATCCAACAGCCGGCTTAAATTTTTGAGGCTACTAAATGTGTTGTCAAACTGTTCCAAGTCCAGAGAAGTTATGGGGCTTGGAGGAATATTCAGAGATGTAGCATTAATTTCATTGTGGTGATTTTGGAACCACTAGAGAAATCTGTTGATATAAGYTTAAACATCCCAAGTAACATCATCAGCTCAGAAATATTAATTACATTGATCCTAAAGGCAATTCAGAGACAGATCAATTAGAATGTTAGAATTTTGTTGTGACAGGAGCTTTGGGCAAAAGGTCTGCAGTGAATCTTCTTTCAGATGTGTTAGAGGGTCACTGTCTTACTCCTTGCATCTTTAGAGTTTACTTAAAATTAAATAACAAGTAATTATTCTTACTTGGTGTTCTTTCTCTTATAATAATTTCCATTAATAAAATCTAATTTTTTTTGAGCCAGATCTCACTATGTTGCCAAGGCTATTCCCAAACTTGTGGTCTCTAATGTTCATCTCATGCATCACCACCCTCAGCTTAGTCTAAATATCTGCTTTGTTRTGTTCCCCAACAAAATTTCAACTTAATTTCTGAGAGGAACTGTTACAATGCCTGGTAAAATATATCTGCCTGAAAATAATTTCAATTGTGTATTTATCTTTTTCAGTACTTCTGAATCATTTAAAAACTGTGCATTTGCAAATGAATATTTCCCAATGGACATTTAACCTAAATGTTTCAACTGACCTTTTCAAAAGAAGCCTTGTCTCTCTACATTTTATCTTCTAGAAATAGGAGAAAATACTAGATCAGTTTATAGAGGCCTGTCTTGTGCTGATATTCCAATACTGATTTTCTTCTTTATTAAAATCTATATCAAAGAATGGACAATAGCCAATAATAGCTAAAGTAATATGAGATTTTACTGTGTGCCAAGCTCTGTTCTGAGCTCGTTAACATAAATTAACTTGTTAATAATTACAAAAATCCTATGTACAATAGRGACTGGTTTTATCCTATTTTACAAATAAGTAAACTGAGGCACAGAGCAGTGGAGTAACTTGTCCAAGATGGAATAGCTTCATACTAGTGTTCTTGGGATTTAAAATCAACCATCTGGTCTTAGATCCTGAACTCTTAATCCTACCCCATGCTATATTCCTTATCTATTAGGCACTTGGGGGACTAAGAAGAAGGGAGTCAGAAAGATTAATGAAGGAAAGCAGAAGCTGTTGGCCCACCCCCACTCACTTCCACAAGACAGTATTTTTTATATTATTATTAACAATTTTAGTTCATCTGGGAGTCACCTATATCACAATTTTCTTCCTGTATAGTGAGTTCTTTATTTACTCACCTTAGATACCATCTTCTATCAAAGGTGTCCTTGCTTTTCAAACTTTAATGTGCATTCACATCACCTTGTTTACGTGTACACTCTGATTCCCAAGACCTGGAAAGGAGGCTAAGATCCTGCATCCCTCTCAGGGGAGATGCTGTTGCCCAGACCACAGGCCATCCAGCACAACAGGGCCTCCCCTCCCTCAGGCTGAGCATCCCTCCCTCATCTGAAAATCCAAAACCTGAAATGCTCCAAAAATCCAAAACTCTTTGAATGCAGGCATGATTCCACATGTATGAATGCAAAGGTGGAAGCTTCCAACCCATGAGACTTTATTTCACATGTAAAATTATTTATAATATTGAACAGGACTAAAGATGTAGCTGAGTGATGGGGGCATGCAAGAGGCCCTGGGTTTGATCCCAGCATTGAAAAAAAAAAAATTACCATTAGGGTATGTGTATCCAGTGCATGTGAAACATAAATGAATTCCATGTTTAGAAATGGGTCCCCTCCCCAAGATCTCTTATTAAATACATGCAGTATAGCAAAATCCCCCCAAATCCAAAACKCGTCTGGACCCACATATATTGGATCAGGACTGCTCATTCTCCCTTGCCTTTTCTTTCTTCTATAATGAATTTTGACTGGCAAGAATCATTTTCAAAAGAGGAGGGATGAGTCACCTGAACATTTTCCTGAGAAAATAACCCTTGATCACATAATGCCGACTCTGGAATTGTTGCTTATTTCTCATTCCTGCTTCCAGGGGACTGCTGGGAGTGAAGCCATGGCCACGGAGGAGATGTCTAACCTGGTGAACTATATCCAGCCAGTCAAGTTTGAGTCATTTGAAATCTCAAAAAGTAAGTCTGCCCTGGATGACAATCCTTCCTGTAGCATAAAATGAATATATTTTAAACACGAGGTCACTAGATCAACAATGATACCTTAACAGAGATTATCTGGGCTGGTGAAGATGTGACTATAAGCATGAATTGAGTATCTTTCTACCTTTCCATATACATAAAACTGTGTGTGTGTTCATGCACGTGTGTGTGTGAGAGTATATATGGGGTATATATATGGGGGTGTATGTATATGTATATATAATAGTGTTAGGATTGGAACCTAGGGACCCAGACATGCTAGGTAACCACTCTATCACTGAGCTACAGCTAAAGCCCTGTGCATTTATATATATTTAAAAAACTATATGATACAGTGTTCTATAATGTTCCCCTAAAATATTTAACAGGGTTACAGTCCATACTTGGTTCTCCAAATGCTGCTAGTTCAACAAGCAGCTTAATTGAGAGTTTTACCTTCGATTTTGATTTGCAACAACACAGTGGGATCCATCCATTGTACAGGGGAYGGTGTTGAATAAACTAGCTACCCACTCCCCAGGAGGGATGTAGGAAGGACTTGAACAACCTTGGTAACTCAAAATAGAACCCATTCGCTCAGATTYCCTCTACCCAGCACAGTCTATATGTTTAAAAGAATATAGAACTAACTTCATATCACTTTGTGTTTTCTCTTCTTCCAACTACCCATCTATAGTGAATGCAAAGGAAAAAAAWATCACCTTTTTTTCCCCAACTAGATAGAAAGCCCTTTTATGAAAATGTTTCTCGTGTTTGCATAAAGAGTCCATAAATTTCAGAGAATTCTTGGGCCTTGCTAGCTGCTTATATGGAACTGAAATTTTGCTTGAACACCAAAACCCCTTAGAAAGGGCCACTGTATAGATGTATCAAAATCCAAGAGTCTTTTAACAAATTTATATTTGTATAATTTTTGCCCTGAGAGTCTTAGTGCCATCTGGTGTCTAGAGATCTACACCAAAGATTTTGACTTTAATACAGTCTATACAGAGACATTTGAACATTTTCTGATGCCATATAATTACTGATATTTCTTACAAGTTGTTAAATTTGAAGCATCCTGGCTATATTTATATGACTGTAACTTTCATTGGCTTCAAAATGAATTTTCCTTATTCATTAGTTAGGGCCTTCTAATAAGGAGMTAGTGTGACATGGAGCAGATGCATTGAATTCTTCAGAACCAGCTAATGACAGCATCAGATGAACAAGACCMGTGCTTTTCTCCTTGTGTTTCATATCACTTCATCACCTTTAAAAAATGGCAAACATAATTTACAAAGTACTGGTCACATTGACTTTATTTTATTTAACAACCATCCTTCAGATAATTAGCCTTATGGAACTAGATTTTATGATGGACCAAAATAAGAGAAGCCAAGGTTTTCCTGTGGATAAATTGGAAAAGTCAGGGAGATGGATAAGGAAGGAGACTGAATGTGACTTTGGAAGAAGAAAGAGGTTTTATTTTAAGAAGGGGTGTCAAAGAGGGAAAAGTCATCAAAAGTCACTCAGCTTTAAAAGCTTCGAGCCATATCACCACTCTTGTCTGAGTCCTGTATATAACTGTTGATTTGAGTTGGGTAGACAGTTAGAGAAATTGACTCTCAAGTCTTTCTGAACTGAGATCGCTTAGTTTTGTTCCTCTCCATCAAACTGGAGCCTTGAATTTCACCTTGAACTGTTTTCATAACTCTCTTGTGTTCAAGGATATTGAGATCTGCAGCACATTCACCTCTCGGGTCTTTGTTACCTAATCTGACAATAAGGCCAATAGACCGGAAAATCTCCAAGGATCCTTCTGCTTTGAAATACCGTAATTCTGATGTCACATTAGTAGTTCCAAGGTCAAGAGCAGGTGATATTGTGGGTCAGAATGAGAGAGTCAGTGCTAGCAGGAACCTTTCGATAATATATTTTGGTATATTTTGTCATTCTCAACAATGGCTCCAAGGAGCCAGTCTGAATGGATTTAGAGCAAACCGTCAGGGTCACTGCTCTTTTGACCAAACACTTTTCATTGCCACCCTATACTCATCTAAAACTCATTCATGCCCTTAAATTGTACAACCATAATTGTATACCTCACCTATTTCATAAATAGAAAAGAGGACTGGCAAGACTCAACTTTTATGACTGGCAAATAGTTCACTGAAAAACATTGAATATGAAAGTTATGTTGAGAATTCAGGGCCTTCCATTTCACTGAACATTTACCTACCTCTTTAAGGATATTGTAATTTATAACATTGAATTTTATTTCTAACTTCCTTTTTTGTTGTTGAACTCAGAAAGAAACAAGAGTTTTGAAATGTCTTCCTTTGTGGAAACCAAAGGACTCGAACAACTTACGAAGTCTCCAGTGGAATTTGTGGAGTATCCTTGATTTGACGAATGTCTGCGGAATTCACACCACTCTGAGGTCACACGCTGTTTGTTTCTTTGCCCAAAGATGCATAAAATGGCTTATGTTGTAATTTGGGAGTGAGGAATGGTCTCAGGGCTCATATACAATGCTCAGCAGGGTAGCCTGGAAGACATAGCAGGGAACTGGCTTTGGAGTAAGAGAAGCCCAGTTTACAAGGTTGTGTGGCAATTTGGTGAGTCCTGCTTTTCTTCATCTCTAGACAGAAATAATCTTCTAGCTTTATGAGTTGCTATTTGGATTAGCCCTTTCTAAAATTTTTATTTTAAGACAGGATCTTGCTAAGTGTCCAAGGCTGGTCTTGAACTTGTGATGCCTTCCTAGTTGCTGGGATTGAAGGCGTGCTCCACTGCACCCAGCATCATACAATTTTTATCATTATCCATGAACCAAAATAAAAACAGAATTTTAAATCATTTTTGCATAAAGTCAATGCTAACTATCTCCAAGAACTCAATTTCATGAAGCAATTCCTAGAATAAAAGTTACCTTTAAAACTCATCAAAGAGGAGGGGAAAGAAATGTAGACTCCATAAGTAAAGTCACACTATACAAATCACTACCATTAGTATTCACTATTGACTTTGCCATAGATCTTTTGTTATAGGTTTTATCCCATTTTATTCTCACAAACATCCTGTGATGTAGGAATTTTAAATCTGCTTTAGAGATAAGGAAACTACAACACTGAAGAGTGAAATAACTTTCCCACCCAAGATCACAGTGCTAGCAGRTCCCTAAATTAAGATTCCAGCCCATTTTGCCTGGCTCACAACTTTAGCTAACCTCCACCCCCCTGGGTCATTGGAACTAGTCAGTTGTGTTTTCARGATAGTGCATTGTTTAACAACTACACAGTTCTCAGCATGGAAACTGAACCACAATATTAAGCAAGGTCAGAAACCTCTGTGCTATATTTACCTCATTATCAATCATAAAGAGGACCTCAGTCTTGACAAACAGCATTCCCAGGGAAGGTTAAGAAAAGGAGCAGAGAGCATTTCAAAAATAGCTGTGCAGTTCCTATTATCTGCTTCTGCCAAACACAATACCATCTTCTCACATGACTTAACACGACACAGCTTCCTGCCGCGTCCTTCATCATTAAGATTGTCCTTAACAACYTCCACGAAATCACATTGACTTTGGCTCAGACATTTTTGCCACCTCATTGGTTTTCACCCACAAGGCTCTGTAAAGGTGATGATGAGTTTGTAAAAGCACACTTGTTCTGTTCATTGAGAAAGCTTTCTGCAGGGTTTACCCACTAACCCAGTGTGATCATCAGTGTTCATTTCATTTCCCCAATGGAGAAAGGCAGAAATCAGCCTCACACTTCATACCATGGACTCATTGTATTTTGTTGTTGTTCTTGTTGTTTTGTTTTTTTTATTATTTTTAAAAAAATATCTTTCRTATTTATTTATTTATTTATTTTTATGTGGTGCTGATGATGGAACCCAGTGCCTCACACCTGTGAGGCAAGGGTTCTAACCACTGAGCAACAACCCCAGCCCAACTCATTGTTTTCATTACTGTATTCACTACTTAACATGATGGTCCAGATATAACAAAATGCAGCTGAGCAGAATATATCCAAAAGGAACACGTGTGGACTCATCCAACTACATGCCCCAGCTSTTCTGGAATGCAGGCTGTCAGATGGTGGCCCTTAACTTCCAGACCGTGGGTAAGTAGCACAGCTCATTCTCATCCAAATGTTCTGTTTCAAAGTCACATTTCAAATGTCCAAGAATACAAATAATAATAAAAGCTGGCAAGGATATGGAGAAAAGGAACACTTCTACATTGATGGTGGGATTGTAAAGTACTAAAATCAGTATGGAGTTTCCTCCAAAATCTAGGAAGGAAACCACCATGTGACCCAGCTATACCACTCTTTGKCATTTATCCAAAAGAACTAAAGACAGCACACTATAGGGATACATGCATATCCATGTGTATAGCTGCACAATTCACAATAGCCAAACTATGGAACCAGCCTATGTGTCCAGTAACAGGATAAAGAAAATGTGATACATATACCCCATGGAGGGTTACTCAGCCATAAAGAAGAATGAAATTATGACATTTGCAGGAAAATGAGTGGAACCAGAGAACATCTTATTAAATGAAATAAGCTAGACTCAGAAAGTCAAAGGTCATATGGTTCCTCTCATGTGGAAACTAGAGAGGAAATGGGGAAAAAAAGAAAATATCTCATGAAATTCATGGAGACTTGTAGAGTAGAGGAAGTTCAGGGGGAGGTACTAGAGCAGGAACTTGAACACATTATGTCATGCAGATGTATGAATGTATCAAAATAAATCCTACTATTATCTATAATTATAGTCCTTCAATAAAAATATCTTTAAAAAAAGAATTACCCCACTGAATTGGAATTAAGCAATCAATATGACCTTTTTTTAAAATTTGAATCCATTTTTTCACTTTATAGCTTTTCTAATTAACAAATTTGTCTGCCTTCCCAGATGCAATAATTCATTTTTTATTATGTTAAAGGACATGGCTTACTACCTGGAAGTGACAATTTGTCATTGCTATTAATTTTTATTTCTTCTCTTGGTATGGCCAGTGGAATTACTTTTCTAAATGAATTTGGTTTAATTGAATCATGTTTCCCTCTGACCATTGAAAAGATTTCTATTAAAATCTAAAGTTATAAATTCATCTGAAGAAAACTGATATTTTTAATTTTATGTTTTCCTCTCACAAAAAGAATGCTTCACTCTTCATTTTTAAAAATCTTATATTAACACCCTCAATAAAATTGCTAGCCCTCATTAGAGGTCTAGTTCCTTTAGATGAAATCTTTCTCCTTTTTTAAAATTACATTTTAACATATTATTCCTAGTTATTGATATTTGTATACTTACTTTATGAATATTTTATAAGTGATCATTTTCCTAAGCCTTTAAAATAGCCTATTTTGGGCAATAAATTTGGCTTCTCAGACACACAAATGCCAAGGTCTCGGCTTGGCATAGAATCACGAGCCACCACACACCTTGTAGATTCAAACAGCAATCCTTTATTCCCGAACTCACACCGGCCTCTACAAACACATTCTGGTCAAATCTCCAATAAGCCGCCGCCCCAAATCACCTACTCCACGAGGCTTTTTCCAAATCCCATTTGAATCTCACAGAACTCAAYGGGAACAAGCAGCAGGAACATCCTAATCCCAGCAGCAATAATCTTCAACCTCCAACTTCTCTAAAACCCRTATTGTCTCAGACCGGGAACGCCCTAAACTTGTCTTAAACCGGGAACACCTTAAACTCAAGGAGCAGAAAACTTCCTCAAACTTGATCATCTCTAAACCCGGATCTGCCCTGGTCTTTGAGCAGGATCACCTTTCTCAAACACACATGCAAGGTCACAGCAAATTTCCAAGGCAAGTCCATTTAACATGGGGTACTCTGGCAAGGAAATATCGATGGTCATTCCTACTTGGCAATGGCCCTCAGCACACAAACACAGGAATTTAATCACATCTAATTTCCTCGACTCCTTATTGCTTTGGGTTGATTATTCTAGGTAATATTAAATGATAACATTGGGAGTGGGCATCTTCTTCTTCATCCTGATACTTGGAGGAATTTAATGTTGTTATGATTTGGGTTATGATTTTGTGACAGATAGTCTTTAAAATACTAAAGAAGTATACACTTGTCCTAACTGACCAACAGTAGTTTAGGAATTTATGTTAAATGCTAATGTATTTCTCTTGGCCAACAATTGATATGATTATATATTCATTAATATAAGCAATTCTCTTAATAGGTCTCCCAACATGTACTTATTCTTTTGTTCCTAAGATAAATTCTAATTGCTTATTGTATTTTATTTATTAGACCATATGACTTTCATGTAATTCCTTAGGCTTTTGGAGTTAAATTTTTTTTTCAAATATGATAGGCCTATTATTTCTCTCTCTCCCTCAGTACTTTGTCTGATTTTTGTATCATAATTATAAAAGTTTAATAAAATAAGAGATAAATTTTCACTTATTTTTCCTGCTTTAATAATGATTTGTTACACAGAGCTTTGAAATAATTCCATCATCCCCTCATTATTGTCCACATCAGTAGAAATGAATCATGACTCAGGTAATACCAACCAGTGACAGCTTCCCAGATTCCTTATGAGTTTATTATTTTATGATATTTGTGGAACTAGGGGGTCTCATGCATGTTAGGCAAGTGCTCTACCACTGAGCTACAGTGCTGGCCTTCCAACTTTTTTTTGTTTTTGTTTTTGTTTTTTCACCAGMAACTGCAGTAAGTGTGAATGTTTATTTGATGGTACTGATTGAATCTTAGGAAAACTTTGATCAGTGACCATTATCTACTGGAAAAGAGTCAATGTATAATCAGATATTGGTTTTAAGTTAATTATACAAATGAAAACTTTAAAAAGGAAATTTTTCTTATAAATTAAAAAACAAAACATTATAACATCCCCTGTCAGTGAAAATATATAGAGAATTCCAGCATCAAAAATTTATCTTAGGGGAGTATAAATTGGTCTAAGCTCTCAGAAGGGCATTTTAGCAAAATTATCAGGAGAAACTTTTCCAATGTGCACATCTTTTGTCCAGAAATTCTACTCCTAGGAAAATCATTAAGTATGCAAAGATTTTACCACAATGATGTTCATTATATGTAATATTATATGTAATGGTGAAAATTAGAAGAAATAAACGTGCCCAAAATATCTACTCTAAGGAAATTATATAGCTATCACAATTAAAGCAGAGAAATATTAAATGTAATTGTCATATTGTAATAAAAATACATTTGAAGTGGAAAAAAGATTATAAACCAATCTGTTGATAGTGTTGTCTCTGGGTCTGGAGATTACAGCTGGATTTTTTTCCATACGTTGTTATCCTCATTTTCACAATGAATAACTATTTCTTTGGTTAAAGAGAACAGTTACCAAAGTGTGCTATAATAAATCTTAGTTCCCTGTCTTACTTTCTCATTGCAAACATAAATACTTTCACAGCGAGTTTTGTATTTTTGATTATTTAGACCTGGCAATGCAAATCAACATGGGCATGTATGAATACAATGGGAAGAGTGGCTACAGGTTGAAGCCAGAGTTCATGAGGAGGCCGGACAAGCATTTTGATCCGTTTACGGAAGGCATCGTTGATGGGATAGTGGCCAACACTTTATCTGTCAAGGTATGGACACCCTTGTCCCTAACAAAGGTCTTAAATATCATCTATTTTGCATAAAGAAGTTGTTTAGTCATTAAATATTTAATAACTAGTAAATGCTCTACTTCCTTTCTACAGGTTTTTCCTTTTAAGTATCAAATTTTCATGAGAATTTTCACAGGACACCTAAATCTTATTAGGGTCCAAGCAAATGAACTAGTGAGACTGCCGCAGTCTGGCTGGKCACAATTCAGGAGCCACTTGTCAAAAGAAACTAACTTTATTTTTAGAACACACACACCACACCACACAGCTCCCTCAGGAAAAACCCTCAGAGCCCAACTGCCACCACTGGCTTCCCACAAGCCTCTCAACCTCCCCCACTCCTCCTGCTCTTGAGGCCGATTGGCTGGGTCGTGTGGGCGGAGCCAAAAAAAGTCCCCCAATGAGCAGCTCCGTGGTCTGAAAGGGGGGGGGAACAGCCCAATGAGCATCACCGCAGAGGAGCCAATCAGTTGGCAGCTAGAAGTTTGCTGGGGCCGCTGTGAGCCAATCATCAGCCGGCAGCTGGAAGTTTGCTGGAGGCTGGAAGTTTGCTGGGGGCCCTTTGGCTGTGGCTCTCAACATGAGACCCACCATGGCCAATGCTCTTTTGATGTAAATAACCCATGAAATTTACATGAAAATTAGTGACCCAGATGGAAGAGTTCAGGTGTTTCCCTGCCCCTACTAGTTCTTACTAGTTCCTGAGCAAAATTAAAGGGGAAAAAAATCCACTAAGTTATTAAATATTGAACAGAAGCTTTCAGGTTTTGTTTTTTTGTGTTTTAATTTCTACCATACCATTCAGTCCTTTTAAAATTCACACTAATAATCTTAAAGGATTACTTTATCATATATATATATATATATATATATATATATATAATCCAAAAAATTAATTCCAAAAGCACTTTCTTCGGTTTTTGAAATAGATGTTACAGAAGATATTTTTTTGAGCTGTCAGAAAATGTTTTTAATACTATGAAAGAGAAGTTTATTTTTATAAAGAAGTTTTTACATGAATTCCGTAAAAAAAAAAAGCTAGAATTTTGTTTGCTCTTTTATAGTAGCATTTATTTTATGTTTTACTAAATAACTCTGGAACTAAGAGACTTTCATTGCACAAAATGCAATTTTCAGATTGGACTTGAACCAAGGCATTTRAAGACTATGTAAAAAGAGACCTTATCACAATTACACTAATTTCTATCTAACCTAAGCAACCCATCCCCCTTTTCCTCCAAAWCTTCTTTCATTTTATATCAAAGATTTAAAATAAAATTTCAGTGAAATATTTTGTCTTTTGAAGTTATTACAAACTCCCTTAAACCAAGAGTGAAGTTGGCACAACTTGAGCTTCATGATTATATTTATTTTAGGAAATTGTTTTCAGCAGAGGATGTCAAATTCCCACCCCGTGTGATTAAGATAAACTCAGAAGCCTCTCATGCTCATAAAATGCTATTTTTAGAACCCTTGTCAATGCTTATTATAACTGAGTCAAACTAATGTTTTTGCCTGGTTTATAGAATCATCCTATTTCATGTTTTCTTGCTTATTTATTTTGTTTTGAAAATCCTACTGCGACAGAACAAGCAATTATAAAATAATGACACAGAGGCAGGAAAGTGAGTGTTAAAGAAGTAGTGGAGGCCCAGGCATTTGTAACCTGCTGCTCCTGTCTCCAAAGGAGATATTGCTCTGGGACAGACCACAATGCAGTGGAGTCCTTCCTATTTTGAACAGTACAGCTCGACCTGAATGCAGCTCGAATCTGTCCCTCATACCTTTGTTTTGATCTTCATAGTTCCCGAATGGACTTATAAACCCACCTATTTTGCTGTGACACAAACACTGTGTTTTAATGCCCTTAATTTACTTTAGGCGTCTGCTTTGGTCAAACTGCACAAGCGTCCAAACTGCTTGGTGCATCTGAATTCCCAGTGGGACTCACATCACTTGGAAGTTTCAAACTCAAAAAAAGCCTGCTGAGTAGTTCTCATGTGGAACCTCAGGTCCAACAGAGAGATTATCCCTAGCAGATCCTGTGCACTTGAGCCAGARAGAACATTCAGGGAGAATGGATGGTCCCAGAACAAGTTCAGAGAGACTTCTGAATGACTTTCTCTCTCACTTGTTCAGAATCTCTGACCTCATCGCCAACTTTGACTTTATGCAGCCTCTGATGACTATTCCCATGCCACCATTGTGTCTGACCTCTGACTCAGCCCTAATCTTGGAAATTCTGACCCCTTTCAAGGACTGAGCTCAGAAAGCTCTTGACTGACTAGCAGGCAACTGTGTTCAAACACAATCCAAATGTATCAGCTTTACTCCATTATCTCTTGCCTCCTGCTGCTGTTCCTCTTTCTGGTATAGAGCAGACACATCTTCTTTGTCTCCATTAACCTTAATGATAGATCCCTCAGATTTGGACAACTCCATTAGAAAAAGGGGCAGACTTGGGAGACATTATATGAATATGTAACCTTAAAATCTCCTTTAACCCCACAAGGTTGGTTAATTCTGTAGTTAAGCAAAGAATGCCCACAATTGTGCAGATGTCTAACTGCATGAGGTTAGAGGTAATGGTCAACTGCTCTTGATGGTTTATGGTAGTTATTGCTTTATTTATTCCTTCTGCACTATTCTGTCTTAGGTTGACTCCTAAGCTTTTCCACGGTCATTATTCCTCCACCAGCTTCTTAAGAGAAATTCATATGGCTAATCTTGTTTCTGTTTCATTCTGCTCATAATTTAACATTCATCAGCAGCATTTGTACCCCCTTTAAAATGCATCTTGTATCTTTGCTACTCATTTTTCAAGATGCATTTTTTTTTGTTTGTTGTCTAGATTATTTCAGGTCAGTTTCTTTCTGATAAGAAAGTTGGGACTTATGTTGAAGTGGATATGTTTGGTTTGCCTGTGGACACCAGGAGGAAGGCATTCAAGACCAAGACTTCCCAAGGGAATGCTGTAAATCCTGTCTGGGAAGAAGAGCCAATTGTGTTCAAAAAGGTGGGTCTCAGTACACTCTGTAATCCCAGTGACTCAGGAGGCTGAAATGGGAGGATTACTAGTTGGAGGTAAATCTCAGCAATTTAGGGAGATGCTATTTCAAATTAAAAAGGGAAAAGGGCTGGGGATGTAGTAAAAGCATCCCTGGGTTTAATCCCCAGTACCAAAAAGTGGGGCGGGGGAGAGAGTCCTTGTATTCTTGACACGATAYTGTGTTTTTGTTTTTAATTTTTTTTTTAGTTGTAGTTGGACACATACCTTTATTTTATTTATTTATGTTTATGTGGTGCTGAGGCTCAAACCCAGTGCCTCACATGTGCCAGGTGAGCGCTGTACCACTGAGCCACAACTCCAGCCCACAACACTGTGTTTTTGATGTGTTTCTACTGAGGGGAAAAAATAAAATAAACAATTACTTCTGGTTAATTTGACAATTCAGAAGTTTACAAAGCAATTGGATTTTGAAAACAGGGAACTAAATACATAATATCAAGATCATTAGCTGTATTCAAATAGAGAATTTTTCTCATTTCTCACATGAAAAATGTTCATGTGCAAAGAAAACAGCCTGGTTTGTACATATCCCTCTCTGGAAGGGAGGTRACAAAACATGAATGGAGCCCAACTATTGTTAACCCATGTCCTTTCCTTCTGAAAATTTAACTTCTGGGACAAGAGTTTAACKTTTTATCTAAATGAGCTAAGTACAAACTTCAACTTGGCTTTGGAAAAGCAGGACCTACTTCTTTCTTGGAATTTCAACCAGTTCTTGTCACCCAGTGTGATTTATTTATTTATTGGTTTGTTTATTTATTTATCCTCTCAGGTGGTTCTTCCTTCTCTGGCCTGTTTGAGGATAGCAGTTTATGAAGAAGGAGGTAAATTTATYGGCCACCGGATCTTGCCAGTACAAGCCATTCGGCCAGGTATGRATAATGTGGTGAGAAGCTCCTTATCAAAACTATAAAAAAAAATCACCAGTTTAAGCAACTATCTGGGGCTTTGTAATTTTGCTATATAAAAGGCCTATATGATCATTTACTTAAATCTAGTAGTTTCTTGTCTTTACGATCCACTGTAATGTGTTCTTGTTACAATAATTATGTGTAATAAAATATCTGAAGYTTATATGTAAGTATTTATGTTCCTGGCTCATGAGTCTGAAGGTTAGCAGTGTATATTTATCTGTCTGTTTTATCACTACTGTAATGAAAATACCTGAGGTAAACTGCTTTATAAAGAAAAGAGGTTTGTTTAGCTCACAGAATCAGGCATCCCATCATCCCATCAACGTTGCCTCTGGTGAGGACCTAATTTAATTCTGGGTGGCATCATAGCAGACATGTGCATTTGGGAGTGAGAGATCACCTTGCCAAATAGGAACCCAGAGAACTGAGTAGAGCCAGACTTGCTCTTTTTTACAAAAACCCTTTCTCAAGAACTAATTCAGGGTCCCAGAGAACTATCTTAATCTCTCCTCAGGGCACAACCCCAGTGACCCTTCCACTTGTCTCCACCTCTTGAAGTTCCCACCACCTCTTACATCATCACACTGGGGACCAAGCTCCACAGAGGAACTCAAGGAGACAAATCACATCCAAACCATTGCACAAGGTTTAGCTGATCCAGCCTGGCCTCAGCAACAGAGCCGTGCTTCAAGCCATTGACTGGGTTCTGGTGTGTTCCAAGTGTGCTCATTCTGGGGTGCAGGCTGAAGGGACAATGGCACCCAGAGTATGGACTTCTCTTGGAAGATCACCAGAATGCAAAAGGACAAGTCTCACTCTACATATGTATTTTGTGCTTCTGTTTGTGCCACAGTGCTAACATCCCATTGACCAATGCATACCCTATGCTGCACCTCAATTAAGAAATCAAGTATAATTCTACTATAAGGAACCAATTTGGACCAATAGTTCAAACTGTGGCATGTATTTTTAAATTCTCTCTTTTGGGRGAGAATATGGTTAGAAAGGGAAAAAAATAGAATCAACAATGTTTTCCTATCTGATGAAGTAAATAAGACCTCATCACTCAAAATTATATGAGAAAGAAGTGACCCATTTGTCATCCAAAGTCACCTAAAATAAACCCTTGCGTCACACAGATGTTCATAGCTGTAGCTAACATTGTGAAGACCATATGTGATACCCAGTGTTGTTGTCACCCTCCAGGCTATCACTACATCTGTCTGAGGAATGAAAGGAACCAGCCCCTAATGCTGCCAGCTGTCTTTGTCTACATAGAAGTGAAAGACTATGTGCCAGACACATATGCAGGTAAGCAACCTGACTCAAGGGCATGTCTCCATCTGGGGTCATTCATGTTTTTGTGGCTTAATGGAAGAAGCACTGAAYCAAACCAAGGCAGGAGATGTGGCCTCTGAATCCCTTCTATTTTTGTCTGTATGTTTAGAGGTATGTTGCTCAGACTTTGTGATTACATTTTAATGCAGTTTATTTTCATTTAAATCTCAATGCCTCCATTTGGAACGTGTTTACTCTCTGGTAGTCTTATATTCATGGGCTCAGAAATTCTTGACTCATGCTACCRGGGGCTACAGTTCTTTATCTAGGTCTGTGCAATGAATTTGACTTCAGCTAGTTTTAGAATCCTGATCCTGGTGGGCACAGAGTTGACACCTATAATCCCATTGACTTGGCGGGAATAAGGCAAAAGGACCACAAGTTCAAGGCTAGCCTCAGCAACTTAGTGATGCCCTAAGCAACTTAACGAGACCCTGCCTTAAAATATTTTTTAAAAGGGTTTGGGGTGTAGTTCAGTGATAAAGTGTTCCTAGGTTCAATCCCCAATACCAAGAGGAAAAGAAAAGAATCCTGATTTTTTTCATGTGTAGAGTCCTTAATTTAGAGGATTAACTTGTGACAATGTCAAACAAAAATCACAAATTTAAATGCTTATAGTACCAAATATTCCATGAGGAAAAAAKACACTGGGAAATGGTGGAGACTATGGCAAATTTGGAACATAGCCCTCATCCAGAGATGGTCACAATAACTCCCTCCACCTAGCCACTGCCATGCAAATGAGACTCATATTGCCAAATCTTTGGATTGTTCCAATAGTGTGGAAAGTGGGCTCTTTCTATGAAATGTTTCTGTTTATGAAATACAATTTGGGCCAAATAAGACAAATGGTAGGAACACTATGGGACAGATGGATGTTTTAAAAAGAAACTAGAGAATGTGAAGTTTTGTGGCATCCTGAGTTTGAACCTGTCCAATGTGGCTTTCAGAGCTGAACTCCTTTGAATTCTGTCTTCTTAAGGTTTCAGCAAAGTCCTGACTCTTGTCTGTTTCCAAAATGTTGCATTAATGGGTGCAAAGGAATATAGGTGGGTGGAAGAGTGAAAGATGGATGCTAAATGGRCAGATGGATGGGTGGGTAGTTGGATGATGAGTGAATACATGGACAAAGTGTTGGATGGATGGGTGGTTAGATGGATGATAGGTAATCAATACCTCCAGAACCTTCCATCTAAAACATTGCTTCCCTGTYTAGATGTGATCGAAGCTTTGTCAAACCCAATCCGATATGTGAATCTGATGGAGCAGAGAGCTAAGCAACTGGCTGCTTTGACACTGGAGGATGAAGAAGAAGTAAAGAAAGAGGTGAGAGGGTGTTACTCAGGGTGTGAAGCTTGATTTCCACACCAACTTTCTGACTTCACCTCGGTGATCTTATTCCAGGGAAATAAAAATGGCATATTGGAACACAGTTTCATGGAGTTCTGCGTCATGTCACAAAACATCCAGATGATCAACTCAGTTTTTCATATTTTATCTTTTGTTATTCTGTGGACACCACTAGCATCTTATCTTGTGATCATGTTAAACAGTACACATCTTGCTGTTTCAGGTGTTTCTGGATGAGTTCATACCAACTAAAGGTGATTAAGGCACAGGAAAGTGAAGATAATCAAGTCATTTGTATTTTCCTTTGTTTTAAATATAAAATGCAGGATGTTCACAGTGCTTTTGTGATTTCTTAAAATACAAAAAGTATTGAATACAATGCCTGGAGTGTGGTTRTGTGTTAGGGTCTATAAACAAGTCAAGATGGYGCCYGGCATTTTGCCAGAGGGAATGGTTTGTGAAGTAAYGCCAGMGAGCCATTACGTGTGGAGATTCCTTATTGGTTGACTGCTGTTATCTAGTTTATGTTAATTAAGATAAGCTGTGTGGAATGTATATATACCCCTCCTGTCCTACAATAAAYGGCTCCCACTCCTGCTGTATCAATGTACACAAGTTGTTCATCACCCCYGGTTATTTTGCCCAGCCAGCCGGCCTGCRGCAGTTTTGGACCCTAAAATGATTACTAACTATTATTATTATATGTATATAGTTATGGTTTCCTGAAATAATTTATATAGTATTCTAAATTGGATGTCAGAATGTAAAGAATAATCTTTTGCTTTGGGATGGAACCCAGGACCTTACACATTCTAGGTAAGTAGGAGCTCTACTACTGACCTACATCCCAGGCCCTCTTTTATTTTGAGGCACTGTCTCACTGAGTYGCCCAGGCTGGCCTCAAACTGTGGTTCCTCCTGCCTCAGCTTCCCAAGTACCTGGGATTATGGGAGTAAGCCACCACATCCAACCTAAAGAATAATTACTAAAGGGTGAAGACATATTACAAATAAAGTCTAAAATATATAGGGMTTAAATCAAGTGACAATCCTTTTGATTTTCAAAAAAGTGAAATATAATCTAATGATTATTGGGGATGACATCAATATTTAGAAAAATGATAGAAATTAGCTCTTCATATTTTCCTTGAATATTCAGAGGAGATTTTCAAGAAAAATTAAAAATGRACAGATAATAATGTAAGAAAAAACTTTGGAAATTGCTTGGATAACTTGTGTYCCTATTAACAAATCCATTAGAGTTGGTAATGTTTATTAGATAACCTTTTACTTATTCCAAAAGTAACTCAKAATTAGGGAAAATTTCCAAAATAAAAACAMGACYCAAGYATTCAGAGAGAAGAACTGTGAATATGGGTTGTAGACATAGGTCATCTTTTTATGTTCAATTTTACTTTTTTAAAAATAGGATAATATTGATAATAAGTTCATGTAAGTAGACTGTGTGTGTGTGTGTGTGTGTGTGTTACAAGGGATTGAACCCAAGAGTGTTCAATTTGCAATCCTCCTGCCTCAGCCTCCTAAATTGTTGGAATTACAGGCCTGTGCAACTGCACTTGGCATTAAAATTTTCCTCTACAAAATGACTTTTACTGGCTCAGTCTTTTGTTACATCACAATTTATTTATCTAATCCCCAATTATTGGATATTTGAAATGTTTCACTATTTTAAACAGATTTTCAAGGAACATATTAATACATTTTGAAAGTGTGATTATTTCCTTTCACTTTCTATAGAGTTTTAGAAATTTTTGATCTTAAGCATTGAGTTCATTAAACATGAGAGAAAATGAAATGAACTAGAAGGAAAGCAATCTAACCTAAAGGTAAAATGTTCCAGGTTCTTACCTCATATGTTTTGGTGCTAGAGATCATGAAATCCTGGGCCTTGAATATGCTAAGAGTGTGCTCTACCACTAAGCTATACCCTCAGCTCCAGGTTCTTCTTTATRCTGTGGGAATTATACTGCATAAGACCAACAGATACATCATCCTRTATCTAATTTAAAATTAGACTGGAAAATTTTATGAAGAATTTATTGTAGTTCACAGAAATAGGCTTATTTTATACCAACAGAAAAGTTTACCTAATAGTAAGCAGGAATATGCATGCTTCAGAARTTAATTTGCCCCTAATATCTGTGCTTAGTTTTTTCAGAGAGAAAAATGAAACAGTAAAAAGTACTTAGTGCCCCCTGCTTGGATTTAATGAGAGATTAGTTCAAGCAATTGCTGCTTGTATGGGGATTACTGAAGGAGGTTAATTTACTTGTTTGAAAGGGGATTCTGTTGGATACCTATAAGGATTTCCTCTCCAAACTGCTCCACTTATTGGTATAGGCTGCCATAGGGCTTGACTTCAAACAGCTCTCAGCTGCCAAAATCTGAGGGCTGGCCTGGACTGACAGGTACCACCTTACCTGACATATTTAGCAGGTTCTTCCTTGGAKGGGGAGCACCCAGGCCCAAGGACTGGCAGACCTAGTGACTAACAGCTCAGGCCCCTTGCTTCYAGTGGCCAACTTCTGTGTTGCAGTCCATGTTCCACTGCTCCCAGGGAGATTTGCTGAGCTTGGACTTGAAGGCCACATTTCAGCTGATCTTCTTCCCCATTCTTGCCCCACCTGCCTCACTTCCCTATGGTTTTCCTCCTGAGAGCATTCTCTCAATGAATCATGTACTCAGGAATCCCTATGTCCAAAGTCTACATCCAGGAATCCAACTGTGCTAAGTAAGTAGCCTGCTGTTTTATAATTAAATACATGAATGAGTGGGGTTTTTTTTCTGACTTATTTTGCTTGGAAACTAGAATTTAAAGATTGGACAATTGTTATATCTTTGATTCTGATATTTCTTCTGAGATAATAGTACTTTTCTTTCCCATGGCTTTTTAAAAAGATTACATAAGACAAGTCTACAAACGCTCCTATGGTTACAAATATGAGATYAAATCTGCTCCTTGTAAATCCCCAGAAACCTCAAAACTCTTTATCTTTTTTCCTCCTTTACTTAATAGAATAAA